TGTGTGCTTGAGTTTATAAGGCTTTGAGCCTTTACCTTCTAATCCTTGTTCATGTTTTGATCCTTTATTTGTGTTGTTGCATTCAAGTTCCAATAATATAGCAGAATATTATGAGGCTCTTGTGCTGACTCTTGTGTGGTGATGGTAAGCACATAAACTATATATAAACTGACCAAGCTGCTGCCAAATGTTCTTTGGTATTCAGTGTCATTTAGGTTAAAGCCAATTGTCTTTGACCTAAGCTAATGTCTCTAGTACTTGTCCAGGGTTATTTGGCTCCTATTTCTTAGCTCTCTAATACCTTCCTTGAACCCTAGAGTAGGTATATGCTCATTAGTGTGCTCAAAAGCCATATATCCCTTCTTTTTCCCTATGTTATCCTTATCCTCTATCTGTATGGCACTCAACTCTATTATACTTAGACTGGCCATAAGATCTGTTATTGGAAAGAGGGACCTTAGAAGGCCAATTTCAATGCTCTTTCCTTGTTTGAGGTATCACATGTATATCAATAGCTATGTGTTTTGACAGGGATATCTCTAGAACTTGTGGGTTGATGTCTCCTTGTTAAAAGTGCTAGCAGTAGTGGTAAGGGCATCCTAAAATACAATAGAGACTGAATTTGGAAGTATAGGGATGCTGAAAGCACCTGAGGCATTACTAGCATGTCTGAGTACTCCCCCTTAATGAGTTCATCCTTATGGTCAGAGTTTCAAGGGCTAGATGGACATGAATCAACTATCAATGGTACAAATAATGGCATATGTGTAGATAATATTGTTGATGGCACTAGAGACATTGTATATAGCACAAATAATGACAAGGTGTCTAGATACAGCATGGGTGGGACATTTAGAACATTGTGTAGCCTGGGCTACCCCTCAACTTGAATAGTCATGTCTGTAGTATTAGTATGTCCTCTCTATGAAAATGATGTTTTGCTTGATGTTAATATGTCATTTGCCTAGCCAGTAGACACAATAGCTTTTTTTAGCAGTATCATATCCAAAAAGTGAGCCTTATTCCCCGTAGGGCTTAGTTTCTTCCACCTATTCATTTTGATCCAAACCTTATAACTCTACTTATAGAGGTTATAAAGGTCTGTCTTGTATATTGTGGCCTTAAGAGGAGTCATTCCCTTGAGTGCATGGGTTCTGGTTCTGTTTCAGATCTAAACACAATGGCTAATTGCCTCCATCCATAGATACTTTAGAAAACCCATATCCAAGAGCATTGCAACAGTATGGCTAACAAGCATGCCATTCATGTGTTTGGTATGTCTGGTCTACTGTGGTGAGTCATAAATAGTCAACTTGTGATAAGTTCCACTACTTGTGAGATGGCCATTGAATTTCTTTGAGGTGTACTCACCACCATGGTCCAATCAGAGAATACTAATGCATGTACCATGGTATACTTCCATCCACTTCTTATGAGTATAGTATAAGGTAAGTATTTCAGCTTTTGTCTTCTAAAACTTCATGGCTACCTCTATAGTTGCTTCATCTAGGTACAATGAGAAATGCAGTGCACCATCAATTAATACCATCTATGTAAGGCCCCATATGTCAGTGTGACACCATCTGCCATAGTTTGCAGTATATAGAGCTGAACTTTCCTACAAAAACAGTACATAGTGGATTTTTACATGTATGCATGCCTTACATTGCTTGTTTTCATTGTCATCACCATTGGCTACAGATACTAGTGTGATTCTGTGGACAAGTCTCTTATAAATGAGTTTCTTGTATTGTCAAGTGCCAACATGACCCAATCACTGGTGTAACTAAGCTAGTGTAAGTGTGACTGCTTTGCTTGTGACTGCTTTGCTTGTGGCTGCATTGGCCATAAAAGAACCCTGTATAAGCTTGTAAAAGTGTAGAGCCCATAGTTGAGGGGCACACAGCCAATCTTGTTTATGTATAAAACTAATAACAGAGTGAATACTATGCCAGGAGCATAGAGCACATCTCATAGGATAATAAGGGATATTTCACCCTTGTTGTTGAGGATCTCTATCCTTAGGTTCCTATATCTGATTGTCATGAAGGTTCCACTATCTACTATAGTAATGGGCTTATGAGTGATACTAACAAAATACTCTATTTCTTTCTTGTAGGATAATATGTGATAGCTAGCCCTGGTGTTGATACAAGTTGTCATTAGGTCTTGAGATTCCCCACAATAAGCAGCAAGTATGGAAGAGTTGAGGATGGCCATGAATCCAACAGGTCTAGTTGTGCTAGTAAAATTGGTGGCAGTACCTCCTTTTTTACCTTTCAGTCCACTTTTTTCTCCTCCTTGATCTTTGCCCTAATTAGGATTAAAACTACCACTACTAGGCTATCAATACTCAGCCTTGTGATGGCCCTTTCTGCCACAATTATAGCACTTCCCCTTGATTTTCTATAACAAGGCTAATAAGGCCTCTGTATTTGGATGTAAGTAAAGGGCCAAAAAAGTGAGTTTGGTAATAGTATATTTTCTCAAAGATGAGACCTGCTTGTTCCTCAACTGATTATTCTCCTATTCATCAAGGATGAGAAAGATGAGTTAGTTAGGCTACATATCCTACCCCAAGGATATACATGGTGTCAGTGATACTTGAGATAAAAGACCAATACAAAGGAGGAAGTAAAGTGGCAAGGATTGGTAGGTATTTGGAATTTAGGAGACTGACTCCTATTCCTGCTAACTCTTCTTTCAATTTCTAGATGTGCTTCCAGATCCCCATTATCCCCATATCTCATCTTGGTCAGTTCATAATGCTTGTCAATCTTAATTATATTAGGCTTATCCTCAAACTCCTTACACATATACTTCTAGGCTTTAGCAACCAAGATAAATCTTTGTAATTGGATCTCAAGTAAGAGGGTGTCACTGATTGTGCTATAAATATGTTGCTAAACTATATATTCATCTCATTCCTAGTTTGTGAGAATGTTAGGTGTATTCTCAAGTTTGAGGGTATTCAATATGGAAATTGGTGTGTCTTCTGAAAATAGGGATAGAACAGTCAGCCTTAAGCTGGATCCATTGAAATAAGGTACCAGTCCTTATACACCAATAATGATACAAAGACAGGTTTTGTATATAACCCAGTTTGTGCCATTATTGGTTAGCTTTGGAATATTATAGAAATTTTAGCTAGACAATATTAACAAATTAGTAGGGCCCATAACTTGTCAGAGTTTATAAGGCTGACTACTAAAAGCATGAGCAAATGGGTAACTTAGTATATGTGGACAACAAATGATATATATGGCAAGTACCTAATAAAAGTGCAAGTATAAAAGTGACTATGGTAAGTCAGTAACAGGTCTACTAAAGTAGAAATAGTATAGTAGCCTATTTCAGTATATGTGGATAATGACTGAGGTGCTCAATAATGATAAAAATATAGTAATAATAGTGTGTTCAGAGTATAAATAGAAACTGTATGGTACCAAGGCAATAATTTTATAAGATAATATATTTAAGTAAGTCTATAAAAGGAAATTGGTAACATATAATATAATAGTCTATCTAAAGTTGAAAATATACCAATGTGTCTTTGTGCATTTTTGTCACTATAGCAAATCTCAATAAAACAGAAGAGTATCTATAAGCTATCTTATCACTATGTCTACAGCATTATTGACCAACACAATTATATGGGTCTTTGATGTTGAATAAAATAGAAATAGTAATGTGCAAATAGTTATTGAGATATAGACTGATAGTTCTGGGTACTGAGAACAATATAAAATATCAAATAAGCTTTTACTATAGAAAGCATATGTTTTTGCTATAATCAATACTAATACCATTGGAATCTATAGATTGTAGGCATATATTCAAGATATAACACAAAAAAATATAGTGAAAAGGTGAGGTTTAATTGGCTTGAACTATTGGTATATATGCCTAATTTGACTACTATGTCATCAGTGACAACCTAGTAACTCATTACACATTGTATAATCTCAACACTCCTCCTTAATGTGTTATAACTTATTATACTCCTTCTAATGTCCAAGACTCCTTCTAAAGGCCTAATAATATCATTTTCTCCTTAGAACGAATCATGTGTTAGTAGGAAATCATGTGTTAGTAGGATTAGGTAGTGGACAGAGACTGAGTACGGCATAAAGATGGATATGAGCAGGCTTGGAAAGAGCTTTTGTAAATATATTGGCCATATTGTGTGTAGTAAGCATATAACAGAATAAGAGGTCACCAAGCTTAACATAGTCATAAACAAAATGATATTTAATGTTGATGTGTTTGCCATGATTGTAGAATGCTTGATTTTAAATAAGCATAATGGCCATTGGTTATTGTAAGAGATGAGGGTAAGTACTATTTGCTAGAGGGATTCAGTTGAAAATACAAGTTGTAACATCAGCATGAATATATTATGTATATGTAACATTTAGACTCTTTCAAAAACAATCCCATTCTAAATCAAAAATATTATGATACAATTTACAAAGATATATTAAGATCTATGACATAAGTTTCCATTGATCAGAAGATACTCCAAGTGGTCAATGGTATTAACATAGGAGCACCAATTGCCTCATAAGCTCCTTTTGCTAGCATATTGAAGTTATCTTTAACCCATTAGTAAGCTTTCTCCATTGTAATAACAAGGGCAGCTTGCAAGATAGGTCAGACAGCCTTGGAAATAGCAAATAATACCTGCTTACTATCATATACTTCAGGTAAACTAAATGCATTATTTGGTATGGTTCTAGAAGGAAGCAACTTATTTTTTTGTATGCAAATCTTGTGTGAGTTCCACGATATACAAAAGTTATCCAATTCTTTCTGAAAAATTAGAGGCCAAATCTAATTAAAAAGATTTTCAAAACCCAAGTAAAACTATAAGGATACTCAATAGCATCTAATGAAATACACTTACTTATGGAGTTTATTAGTATAATTAAATATTTCATTATCTTATCCTTGAATAATTACCTTGTAGAGGTTAGTCCAAGATATCTTTGCAGCCAATGCTACCATAACTTAATTGGTATATTCTGTATGCTTAATAGTGCTAAAAATAGAGATAAGGCATTAGAATCAGCATTAGAAGCATAAGTCTCTCTAAAGGTTTATGTAGATCAAGAGTTAGCATAATCATAGAAGTAAAGCTTGTCTTCAAACATACCTTAATGCTGTTTGGAATGAGTATATGTCTCCTATCTCACTACTCTTATTAGCAATGATAGTGAGAAAAATACCTACACAATAGATTGAGCATCAGCATTTAATAATAATGGTTATATATGTCTAGCACTTACAACCAAGACTCTCATCCATATCAAGAAAGTTATGGCCTATAATAATGAACATTTGGAAGAACTGTGATCTAGGGAAGAGTTGTAGTATACTGATCCTTGAAAGCATAGATTCTAAGACCAACACTACCTATGTTCAATGCAAGTACTCCTAATCTAGGGGTCCAGTGTACTCCAAATAGCCTTGCACAATATGGCTTCTACCAGGAAAACAATGCTAAGAATTGAAAGATTATTTGTATACATAACTTGCTACATAATATAACTATTTATCTAGTTAGCACATGCCACTAGTAAGAAAAGCCTATGGCTTACCAAGGAAGTAGAGTGCTATCAATCACAAGTGGCATTATCATTGGTCCTCAACAAACCATAGTGTCCTTGGCCATCTTATCTAAGACAAGCTATATACTAGCCTTTGAAGATAAAGTCTTTTATGATCTTGGAATATTAAATGTCAATTGAATTTCTTTGGTAGATTTTCCTTAATCTATGATAAGATAAAGGCATTCAAGAGACAGGCCAAAATATATATTTAGTTTTTAAGCCATGCTCTTTTTTGAGTTGTTACAATTATTGTTTATGCTTCAGTCCTTCTACCACATAATAATGAAGAGCCTATTGCAAAACATTTTCCTTTGGCCCTGGTAATCAAGCAAGATAATAAGTATCTTATAGGTTCTAATTAAGCTAAAATAGTATATAATACTTATAAGTGCCATTATTTATCCTATTTTTATATTTCAGATTTGGGGCTTGCAAAAACTTGCCTTTGAGTAGGGGATTTCTAGGCATGATTTGATATAAAAAGATAACAGCTAATATATGGTTAAAGTATGGTAGTGGTCAATAATATTATGAACTGCTCATTTAATAACCCTAAGAGTAGGAGGTTCTTTTCCAGGTCACACAATGAAAAAGAGTAGAACAATGGCCTTGACTATACATATGTATAGGAGGAGATAATATTTAGAGTGCATAGTAGGGGAGTCTGCAGAGGTGTAGTAGAAAGACTACACTGAACAAAGTAGATAGTAGGAAGACTGTCTAATAACCAAGTACTGTGGTAGGAAGACCATAGTAAATAAAGAAAATAGACTAAAGATCCTCAGCCTATTCTATGGGCCTTTTATACTACTTTGGGAAAATGTGAGAATGCTGCCTATATCCTCTAGGCATTCTCAAAGTCACTGCTCTTTCCTAGTAACTACTCTTATGCTTTTCCTATTGTCTCCTTTTAACCTAGGAGTATAATGGCTTGGATTACCTTGTGAAAGTAATAATAGTAAGCCCACCTTAGATCACCTCATGTATTACCTTTTGTGATACTTGACTAGTGACAATGATATCCACTAGGAGTTAATAACCAAGGGATTATACCTTAGAATATGATGTCTGTGCCATAGTAGGCACCACCTAGTATTTGTAATAATCATTGCTGGCTTAGACTTGACCATAGAGGTCCTAGCAGACTGTGATTATAACAATACCCCCTTTCTATGTCCTAGTGCCTAATAAGACATCCATGTGAGAGTTTGTCACCATTCTATATATAATTGCTTTCTTGAGCAAGATAATAGAGCAGATGCAGCTTCTGCTATGACTTTGTTTTCTAGAAGGAAGACTGACTTATGCTGTTTAATCCTCTAGAGGTTTTCTATCTCCATTATTAATAGAATGCTATTTCTTCACCCACTTGTTTTGTTATGGATTGAGCTTGGTTTCTTAAGCCAAGCATTACCAAGTCAACTAGACTGTACTAGTTTAGCTCTAAAAAAAGGCATATTATGTGAGTAGTGTATTGGATGAGTAGTGTATTGGATGAGTAGTGTATTGGATGAGTAGTATATTGGATGAGTAGAAACTTATCAATATAGATTTATATTGTGTCATCATCATCACCATCTTTCTTTTCTGAAGGACAAACCTTAGTATTTCTAGAATAGCTTCTTGTATCCTTGTGATTGCTATGCTAAGGGGGTCCCTAGATAAGTAGGTTAATCACTTTACCAAGGCTTAGGCCTACTTCTCATAGTGAAGATTTTCCATAATTGGTTTTAGGACTAGCAGGGTTCCTTTAACAATCCTAAGTGGGATTGCTTCCATATAGTAAGCTCAACTCTAATAAGGTTAAAATATGCATTCAGAGTTTGTTTGTCACAAACATGGGCCTATAGTAGGAAATACCATGTATAGTATTGGATTTGAGGCAAGGATATGAAGAAGAATAGACTTGAATGTTGGTACTCTTATTAAACTGTATTACTCCTATATGTTGAGCTCATCTCTAACTAAGATTAGGTTAGAGCAAAGAGGGAGTCTGGCCTCTTGCTTATTGACTGATACTAATTTCAGGTATGTGATAAGACTTTGTGACCATATATGATTGATTATTTGGAGTCACATAAGATAAATCCAAAATTGCAGTTTAAACATTGTATGGGACATTTTATAGTTTATTGTCTTTGCAAATGTCCTAGCGGTTTTCTTTTATCATGTGGAATAAATAAAATTATATAGCCTTGTCTTGTCTTACAAGGATGGTAATATTGGGATAGTTTTTGTTATTCAGGTGCTGTCCTTAGTTTAAGGGAAAGGTCATTGCAGACCTTCTTCATTGTTAATATAGAGGAGCTATAAAGGAAAACTTTTCTATATATTAGAATATCTATTGGTAATGTGCATAGGGCCTTAGACTAGGTTTTACCTTAATAGGTCTCTACTAAGGTATGATAGAAATGGTTTATCAAACTGGATAACTTAGACCTAAGTTAAGGTTGACTTAGTTTAATACCATGAGCTTAGGTAATTTCTATCATCTGACTTGTTTCTCTGAGTCATGATAGATTTTGTCCTTTGGGGATAAGAGTAGTTTATTGTTGTTTTAGACTTGATTAATGTATTATTGTCAACAATAATGTTAATCAATGATCCCTGTATGTAGAAGGCCAGTATTTTAAGGTCATTTTAGACATAGATAGTTTACCATCATCTCAAATATGCCTTGAAACTTTGGAAAAGACAAGGCAATGACTAGTTTAATGTTATCTTAGATGTTAACTAATAGAATAGACTAAACTTGAGGGTGGCTATTCTAATATTATAATGTCACAATGTGCAGTTAGGATGAGTCTCATAATTTAGTCTTCTACAACTAGATTCTTGACTTGAGGTATGTGTCCTAGTTGCCTCTTGACTAGGTCTTGAAGTGGAATTTCTTGTCTTTGACTTCAAGATTAGACTAGGTACACTACAAAAAGATGCTAGCTCCTTCAAGTCTCCAGACACCTTGTCTGGAATTAAACTAGATTAACCCCATATTCTTTTACTAAAAGGTGGAGAAATATGGAAACACCTAGCCACTGATAGGTAGGGTTCCACAATGTAAAAGTTTGGATTCTATGTTTTACCAGGATACAACCATAATCTATAGGTCATCAGTAGTTTAATTGCCATTTTAGACATTGGTAGTTTTACATTATTGCAGACCCTAGTAGTTTAATATTATTACAGACTAGAACTAGTTTATAGTCATTACGGACCAAAGCTGGTTTATAGTTATTATAGACCAAGCTTTTGGTAGTTTTATATTATTCCAGATGTAATCTCTTTTCCATTTTATTAGAGTGGCTATTAATCTCTGATAGGGTGTAGCTCCTCCATTGATCTGTGCATTAGCATTTTTAGGGCCGCCTAATATGGAAATGACCCTGTAAAACTAGGAGTCCAAAGTGGGATACCCAAATACCTGTTACATCTTGACAGTAAGGATTTACTTTACTAATGTTATGCATATACCATAAATATAACCTTGTTCTAGACTTTTGAACCAGTCAATTTTGCCTCATCCTTTTATACCAAAAAAAAAGGAGGGTAGCTTGTCAATACCAAGTATATTGACCCTTAGGGCTCCCTAATGTGGAAAACACCCTATAAAACTGGGGATCCAAATGAGATGCCTATACATCTGTTAGAATAACCCCTTGATAGTGAGGGTATAAAGCTACTCTATTATATATATGCCATCACATAACAAGACCTGCTATTATGCATCACAAATGCATAGTGCCAGTTGGTTGGGTACTTTCCCTGTCTTCTTGTCTTTTTACAGTTTTAAGATATACAGGTTCAATAGTTTAGATGTCATTCTAGATAGAGGTAGTTTAATATCACTTTTGGACAAGTCATACAGTTTAACATTGATATGCTAGAAGTGGCTCTAAGTGCCAAGCATAACACCAAAACAACCTCCAATACAAGGGGTACTAGAGCTAGTATCTGATATACAAGGAATTGTTGGTTAGGACTTGAGAAAGTAAGGGCATACTGAAGAGTAATGAGGAGGGTGAGATTAAAGCGCCTGAATGGTTTTGGGACTATACTGAACACTGACCGAACATTTGGTCAGTTGAGTCGGATTGAGGAGTCGATCGGTGATGAGAAGGTAGCATTATAACCGATAACTACATGCTTCAAGAGCCACACAGGACTCTGACAATATATGAGGGGGGACAAGGGGTATGAGTAAAGAGATGAGTACAAATGTGAACAAGGCTGAATGACAAGAATGACAAGTTTTTAGGAGTTGACAAAGATAATTTCAATGGTTGAGATAAGTGCAAATGAGCTCTGAACTGTGGGGTGTGAAATCTGGTTTATTCCAGAGTTGTATGTAGGTTTTTATAGTAAACAGAGCCCCTCAGTAAAATATCGAACAAGAAATGAGAGTAGATGTTGAATGAGTGCCAAGCCATAGTGAACAGAAAAAATAAGAAGGTAGGTGAGATGTCCATATAGGCTCCGAAGGTAATAAAGTAGAAGTTAATCAACAAATGGTAAAATCCCAAACATTTGGGATCTGTTGTCTGAGCGTAAGTAGCCTGAACAGGTGTTGGAGAACCAATGAAAATAAAGAAGAAGTAATGTATGACCAGGGTAGCCAAGTAATAGTACAAGATCATGTTTGACTGCCCATGTAGAAGTTAGGAAGATAAGCAATAAGGACTTACTGACTCACAGAGCATATCAGCTGACATATAGTACTGGCTCTAATCCTGTAAACACCTATTATAACACTCCTGTGTGGTCATGGTAAGTATGTGAAGTATGGGTGAACTGACCCAAGTGCTGCCAAATGTCCTTTGGTGGCTTGTGGTTGGTTAGGTGGGGACCAACTGTGTTTGGTGCAAGTCAGCATCTTTAGTATTCATCTAGTGCTATTTGGTATCTCCTCAAAGCTTTCCAAATACCTCCCTCAGACCCTAGCATGGGTGCATGCTCATTAACATCATGAGAGACAATGACAATGATAATTAACTAGTTTAAGGTCATTACAGACCAAGGGATGGTGTTTTGTATGTGAAACCATTGACTGGGATATAGGATGTCTTTTCCTTCCTAATATCCAATAATGGGTAAGGATTTTCTTAACTTCCTTACCCCCTTTCTTTGTCTCATACTCTGCCCTCTAGTTTGTAGGTGCCATCAATACTTATTAGCTTGATAGTCACCTCATCCTTCATTGGGTCTATAATAAGGGTCTGTATTATTACAGTTTCCTACATTGTTCAGAGTGTCCTAAGCATCTAATTCATTCTGAGTCTAGTAGCAATTTTGTTGAGTCTTTGCATCAATGTACTAAGTTTATCGATTATGTTGAGGATTTGACTCCTTGTCTATGCAAAGTCAAAGAATAGGAGTAGTCACTCCATTTTATTGTCATAGAGCTTGGCTAATTGGTATTTCATAGTAAAGGGGCATCTAGGTTTCTCAATTTCAATGACCCTTATTTCTTCAATAGACAGATAGTTCCTCATCAATATTCTAAAGAACATGAATAGTGTTTTGAACATTGCAGTTGTTATTTATAAGGCTCCTACTTCTAGGAATATTTATGTGTTTATCTGGAAAACTTTAGGTGCTGGTGTAATAAGGTTGGATATGTTGACTCCATAATATTAGGGTCTGGATCTCTACTAGAAAGGGCTAGGTAATGACACAAAAGAGGTTGACATGCTAAGGGGTGATGGGACTGAGTTCCTCTGAGAATAAGAATGCTGGTAAGAGTTCTTGGTTAATATAGAGGGTAAACTTGTCTAGGTGGATGAGGAGGGAGCAGGGTTATTCTTTTCCTCATTCTTCTTATATGGCAATATTAGGCAGTGTGTCCAAAGCAAGCTGTTTGATCTGCTGGCTTGCATTAGCCAGTTATTTGGGAACATCATTATGCTTACTCCCTGGTTGCCCTGCCAAGAAATTAGCAAGTCATTGCAGGACTATGATAGTCACCATTTGTATTACTATGGAGATGGTGTTTTATTAGAGAAGAGCATCTGTGTGCTGCTCTAGTTCTCTAGAGTAAGAATGTATACTATTGGCAGAGGCTTCCATGGCCACAGAAGCCTCTCCACTAACTGGTACTGTGTCTGGTAAAGTTCCTGGTAGAACTAGAAGTGCACTATTCATTCCAAGGCCTAATTGTTGACCTTCATCTCCCAGTTGTAATCTCATATAGGTTGTGTTTCTAGCATTCTCTATGATTCCAGTAAGATGTGGAACTCAAGTTATAGATCCACTAGGATCCCCAAGGTTTCTGTTGTTAACATCCTCATCCTGTGGTGGACTTTCAGTGCTCCTCTATACTAATTAGTCAATACTTCTTTTTTCTTTCTATTTCTCATCCTCAATGTTCTTGTTTAGGGTTGAGGAGAGGAAAATGGAGGGTGACTCAGCAATGGGATGCTTGGGAGCATTTGAGGATCCTAGGTCATCAAGTTATCAAGTATTAGGTTTGGCAATGGCCAAAACAATATTAGGGGAAGAATTCTAGAAAAGAGATGAGGAGGTTGAGTTATCATAAAGGAGCATGTTTGGATGAGGGAGGATTAAAAAAGTAGTAGAGGTTAGACTCTTATGATAAGAAGGCATTTGGGTCCTTCTTTATATGTTTATAACTTGACTCTCATAAAATGGGTTTGTTAGAGTAAGTATGATGGAAATCTTGTAGTGGTTCTCTTGTTGACCTTTCTAGAAGGGTATAAGGTTCTAGGTGTTGTCAGCCTCTAGGTAGCCTTCCTATTTTACAAGGTATTTGATTCCCCATCCTCAATGTTTTAAGTCTAAAATAGCCTCTATCTTGTAATATTTCTTATTATTTAAGACTTCTGGTAGAGGTTTGATGAAGTTGATTCTATAAGCCTCTATTTCCCTGTATTTGGTTAGCATGGTCACATGGAATATAGAATGGATTTTCCAATGGGCAGGGATTTGTAGCTTGTATGCTAGAGATCTGACCTTGGCTAGGATTTTGAAAAAACCATATCACCTCAGCTCTAGCTTGAACTTAGGGTGCATTGTCCAAATATAAGTACCTTCTATCCAAACTTGGGTTTCTTCTTTCCACTAAGGGAGTTTCTGGTTGGAATCCTAGTCTCTGGCATATTATGCAGCTATTTGTAGGCTAGCTGTAGCTTCTTCTTGCGCTTCTATGATCACCCATATTTATTTTGCTATTGTAGATACCTTGGTCTCTAATGCCACATCAGCTAAATAAGAAGGGTTGAAACCATAAAGGACTTTGAACAAAGATTTCCCTATAATAGAGTGTTTCTGTGTATAATAGAAGAATTCTGCAAATAAAAGAAGGTCTACCCAATTATCTTAATTATACTTGCAAAATGTTTGAAAGAACTATTTGATCTCTTGGTTTACTTACTCTGTTTCCCCATTTATTTAGAATGATATGCTGTGCTGAGAATGGTAGTGATGCCAAATTTCTTCCACAATTCCTGTATGAATTTGGCAGTGAATTGGGGGCCATGATCTAAGATTATTCTAGTTAGTAGACCATGATGTTTGAATACATCTAGAAAACCGCCCCCTTGTATTAGCTCTAGATTATATCTAATAGTGTCTAAAAGTATCTAAAAGTATTAATAGCGTCTAAAAGTGTCTAATTTCCTAATTAGGAGCAACACATTGTGAGCATTGGATTGGATTCTAATTTTATAATATTAGCACTAATTCCATACTAAGAAGTCTTTTATTATTAGTAGGAAATAGTAAATACTACTGCTCTATCAGTGAAAAGGTAAAAATGTGGCACATTCTATACTATTTCCGCATATTACTCTTCTTCATATATGCTTGCACCATTATCTTGTAGCTCTTTTGCTGACTTTCTAGCTGCTTTTACAAGGGACATAGAAAGAGAGAAATATGCATTGATGCCCCAGCCACTTTGTTGGCAGCTTAGCAGCTGCCACAAGAGACTATGAAGACCTCAGTACCTTGGCCTTGCACACAAGATCATTGAAGTTATCATTGTTAGCCAATGCCTGTTACTAGTCATTACAAGACACAATATGCAGGTTAGGCTTAGGGATGTGCTATATGCAGCCTTGCAGACCTTGTCTATTAGTACAGTGGTTAATACTGTCTTATGCAGCACATAATCATCACTACTATTGATATTACAATTCTCAGTGCCATTCACACTGTCTATTGCCTTGTTACACAGAAGATGCTCAAACTTGGTGTTTTTTTCTAGCTATTGGGCTGTGGAAAAGACAGTCATGTTGGTATGAGTCATATTGGTATGTAGTGCCAGAATAATATATTTGCCTGCTATGTAGGAAATATGTGCACCAAGCATATCAAGATCACCTCCAACAATCTTGTGCTTATTTATATATAGGCATGCCATACATATACTCTTGTCCCCACCCTCTACCTCACTAGTGGCCATTTGGAAAACCACTCTCTCTTATTGGATCTTAATTATTAATAATCATTAATAATACTAATTTGAGCTAATTATGGCTAATTATTCATAATCATGTTTTTGATCAAATTTGCAAATTAAGGTAGCATTGTCTATACTAGTAGAGTCTCATTGAATATTATACTCAATTATAGTTTTACACATTCTCAATCTAAATTGTGTAAGTGCCACAATTTGTTTTTACCCTATATAAAGTGTATTATTTATTTTCCATTGGTTTATTATCTTCTTAGCTGGTGTTTAAACTAAATCCTAAAAGACCTGACTTTTTGGGTATTTATTGACCAATTTATTTATTCGATAGAGGAAAGATAAATGTTGAATAAAATCAGAGATGTTAAGGTTGTCTATATAATGTCTACTTATTTAGATTACTAAGTTTATATATTAGACCTTATGGCTTAGTGGCTTAGAGTATCTGTTCTAGGTGCTTGTATACATGAGGTTGTTGGTTCAATTCTGGCAAAAGACAAGTTTGTTAAGGTATATTCTGTGTTTAGGTATTGAACTAGTGCTCTAATATACATGACTCTATAAGAAGGCTATGAGAGCTGTGATGCTTGATTTATTATTATTATTCCGAAATTTCAAGTTATAATCAATCCTAATAATTCTTAATTTAGGAGAATTATGTCTAATTAGAACAGGTTTAGAAGGGGGTAAGCTAAAAATGTCTAATTCTAATCTTCCATAATTTAGTATAGTAAGGCATCAATTATAGCTAATTAGAGCTTAATACAAGGGAGTGGTTTTCCAGATGATTCTCCTCCTCCTTTTCCCTCTCTTCCTCCTTCTGCCAAGGAGGCTTTTGGTTTATCTGTTCCTTAGGCTCCATTCATATATGGCCCTTTAGTTGTGCTCTCTCTTCCATGATCAAGCCTTAGATACACCTTTACCTACTTATATCAGTACTTGTCAATGGCCTACAAAACAGCCCATAGATCATTGCCAACTGCTAGTCAGTGCTTATGACTTTGGTAGATGGTGTATATGAGCTACACAATAGCAACAACATCATCTGGAAAACCACCCCTTTGTATTAAGCTCTAATTAGTTCTATTTATGCATAATCAAGAACGATTAGGATTAGACATTTTTAGCTTACCCCCCTCTAAACCTGTTCTAATTAGACATAATTTTCCTAAATTAGGAATTATTAGGATTGATTATAACTTGAGATTTCGGAAAAATCATAATAAATCAAGCATCACAGTTCTCATAGCCTTCTTATAGAGTCATGTCTCTTAGAGCACTAGTTCAATACCTAAACACAGAATATACCTTATAACAAACTTGCCTTCTGCCAGAGTTGAACCAACAACTTCATGTATGTAAGCACCCGGGACAGATGCTCTAAGCCACCAAGCCACAAGGTCTAATATATAAACTTGGTAATCTAAATAAGTAGACATAATATAGGCAACTTCAACACCATAATATAGGCAACTTCAACACCTCAAATTTTATTCAACATTTATTCTTCTTCTATCTTATAAATAAATAGGCCAATAAATACCTAAAAAGTCAGGTCTTTCAGGATTTAGTTTAAACACCAGCTAAGAAGATAATAAACTAATAGAAAATCGATAATACACTTTATATAGGATAAAAATAAATTATGGCACTTATACAACTAGGACTGAGAATGTGTAAAACTATGATTGAGTGTAATATTCAATGGGACTCTACTAGTATAGACAATGCTACCTGAATTTGCAAATTTGATTAAAAACATGATTATGAATAATCAAGATCCAATAAGAGAGAGCGGTTTTCCAAATAGCCACTAGTGAGGTAGAAGTGAGGTAGAGGGTGGGGACAAGAGTATATGTATGGCATGCCTATATATAAATAAGCACAAGATTGTTGGAGGTGATCTTAATATGCTTAATGCATATATTTCCTATATAGCAGGCAAATATATCATTCTGGCACCACATACCAACATGACCGTCTTTTCCACAGCCTAATAGCTAGAGGAAAACACCAAGTTTGAGCATCCTTTGTATAACAAGGCCATGGACAGTGTGAATAGCACTGAGAGTTGTAATATCAATAGTAGTGATGATTATGTGCTGCACAAGACAGTATTAACCACTGCACTAATAGACAAGGTCTGCAAGGCTGCATATAGCACATCTCTAAGCCCAACCTGCATATTGTGTCTGTTAGGACTGCGTCCTAACACGTGTTCAGCACGTGACTCATTGGTATCTTTGGGTGACAAAGGCTGATTACATATACATGCCAATGCATGAACGCTTACCTTGCTGACTCATTCACAAGCTTCGGCTTGAACGTTTACGTATGCCCGTTATGACGTCACTTAACTGTGTTCCTGAAATTGCTTATTGATGCGGACAGACAATCGTCATTGTTACTATACTTGGATAAAAGCACAGAGCTGCGGATTACATACGCCGATCGTTGATCGTACTTAGTGTTTAGAAGCATGGACCATATGTCCGGCTTGCCCTAAATAGCCGTACGTATAAATAGCCGAGCTGAGCTTCTCAGAAGCCTCAGCTCGTTCACTTCGTATACAATCTTGATCTCTGCACTGCGCCCAGCGTCTGGCTCCTTCTAAGCCCACGCATCGCGAACTCTGTCAGATCAATTGAATCATACCTAGTCTGACGAAGCACTGGATTTGTCTCAAAGCCCTTATCATTCTCCCGTCTCTATCGCTTATCAAGGACTCGCCGCTTATCGAGTCATTCGCTGGGATCCACCCGAAGTGATCTGCTCTATCGGAGAAGACTTGTTCGTTCCTGAAGAACATCGGTCAATTATAAATAATCACCTTCTCCACTTGTTCGAAGACAAGGTCAATAGCAACCAAGACTTCTTGGATCACGCACGCAGACGAGCCATCGTCTTCATTCGTTGGGCAGTCAATCTTGGTTTTAGCTTAGGGAACTCTACTTAGTGCATTAAGTGCACGTGATAAGCCTAACGGCTTAACGCTTGAACGAGCTCTTTATTCCCTACCCTATCACACCCTGGAATGACAAAACATCCAATCTCTCGCCGAAGTCGCTCGACGAATACTAGAAGAAAGAAGCCGCAGAGCCACTCAAATCAGTCAAGCAATAAACACAGACATACTCAGACCCGAGGCCACCACCCCGGTCATCAGCCAAGAAATTCCCACGGGTACTCTTACAACCTCCAGATATTCAGTAACGGGAAACGCATACGCAGGAGTAGCCATATTTAGGCTACAACAATACCACGATTACTTCTTCAACCTCATCAACGGACTCGGATTCCCTTTTCCCAGGCTTTGCTTCATCAATGATCCAAAGACTCCCGTCTCCTCCGTTGGAAACCCAGGACTTAACCTTCTCCACACAAGAAGCACCATTGACGTGGACGACGGCAGACCCAGTAATTTCCCAGTAGCACACATCACCGATCTCCGTAGGCATATCACCAGAGGCGTGGATTCCGAAGGAATTAGAAGAGAACTTATCGAGAAAAGTGAACAAAGGAGTCAATACGCAATTATCATCTTTTGGACCTACACCACCCAGAATTAAGACACGCTGGACAATACTGGATACTCACCCCATCGAACAGAAATCACCGGAACCGTATCAATTATCAGAAGAGGAGAGCTCGCCCTCAAAACTTATTATTTCAGAAGTTTCATCAGCGGACAAACCATCAACGAGATCCTCACGCTTATTGACCAAATCAATATCGGGATCAACGAAATCATCAGAAGAGAACCTACTCTCCAAGAAGGACTTAGGGCCGGAAGAAGACTCGAAGTTCCCTTCCACTTCGAAGAATAAACCATTGAGCCATCACTTCCAAAAGGATACCCGCCCCCGTACCACAACGATCCTATCTACATCTTCGAACATTTACCCGAAGACGTCAACCCGGACAACGTTTATTGCGGCCAGGAAAACAGACACTTCTACCACAACGGAATCCTCTGGGGATTCTATACCCAGAACGGAAAAGAGGAATATTACGCAAGACCATTTCAAGGAAAGGAAATCCACGCCGCACCCGAGTTACCAACAGTTAAACTCGCTGAAACAGTCAGAGCACTCCGACTCCTCAAGCCTAAATCACCGACAAATCGGAATCGTAACACACCAAGGCCGCACATATATAACCTACCCAGAGAAACAGCCAGTGGAAGTCGAACATCTCAAAGAAACACCCCCGTCCAATCTCCGGTACAAGAAACCGCTGCACCGGAACCCATCAGAACCCCTTCACCATTCGAAATCCCCTTCACGACCTATCCTAAAGAAGAACCGAATCCAAGTAGAGAGCCTCCTAACGATCCGGAGCCCCCAACCAGTGAAATGTTGACAAATCCTAGAAATCCTGAGTCCAAGGGACCAGCCATAGCCAAACCAACCCCTTTCGATGGAAACAGGAAACGAACCGAGCAGTTCCTCCACGAAATTGACTTAATGATCCTCGCCAGGAAATATGATTTTCCTGGCGAATTTGCTAAAATCGCCTATGCCCTGTCATACATGAAAGGAGGATCCGCCGGTATATGGTCTAGAAATTTCACAAAATCCAGAAACGAAGCAGATGACTGGACTCTATATACATGGAAGGAAACCACAGGAAAAACCTCAGTCCGCAAGAAAATCTCTACGGATTTTGAGGAATTCAACAAGACATCAGATGCCAGAGACAAACTGGCTAGAATAAATCAAGGAAAATAATCCTTTAACGCATACCTCCAACTTTTTGAACAAATCGCAGAATTATCTGGGGTCGACCTAGAAACCAAGAAAACACATTTCCTACGCGGCCTAAAATGGGAATTGGCTCGAGGAATCTACCAAGATCCCGCCAAACAAGATACATGGGAAGAACTGGTAGCGAAAGCTAAAAGACATGAAACAATGCGTATAGAAGAAATGCGCGCGCGCGACCTCAGGCAAGGAAAATACCAAGTCTTTACCCCAAGCAATTATTACTCCAACATCGCACCTCCTCGCCAAGAAAGGGAATCGCAATATGTCCCAATGGACGTAGATGCAGCAGAAATGGAGGCCGATGCCATCCGCACTCGCTTCAAGAAGCTCACACCCGGGGAAAGAAGCCAACTCGCCAAAGAAGGCAAGTGCTTCTATTGTAAGAAACCCGGGCATATGGCGCGCGGGTGTCCCTCTCGGCCCAAACAAAGATTCCCACCCCCTTCCCGAGGAAGATTCCAACCAAAGCGCCGCATGATGCGCGCCATGGAAGAAGAAGAAGGAGGTGATGAAGAAGATCAAGAAGAAGGAAAGCAGAGGGTCGCCTACATTCAACAAATGATGATGGGCCTCAGCATGGACGAAATTGAAGAAGTTCGTGCTTTTAGCGAATCGAAGAATTTTTAAAGACTCTTCCATCGGCAGCGGATGTGAAGAGTAGGATTCTTGCAGGAAATCGGTACGCTCCGCTGGCCAATGAAGACATTGACCAAGAGCATGGACATCCAGATATATTGTATCTCTCGGAAATGAAATCACATGGTGCACCATCACTCCGAATCAAGACAATATTAATAGGCAAGAATCGAAAAGCTGCTACTCAAGCTCTCGTAGATAGTGGAGCAACAGGAATATTCATGCACCCCAGATTCGTGGAAACGCATAGAATAAAAACCCGGAAAACCCCAGCCCCCATCCCAGTCAACACGGTCCAAAATACAGAATTTAAAGGAGGACCAATCACAAAATTCGCAGAACTAAAACTACAAGTTCTAGGCGAACAAGGGGGAACACACACCGAATCGGCAAAATTCTATATAGCCGAAATCGGGAAAGAAGATGTCATCTTGGGAACCGACTAGTTGTTAGAACACAACCCAGAGGTCGACTGGCATGCCTATGGTCTACATTTTACTAGATGCCCACCCTCCTGTCAAATCAAAGGAGGACCTATTAAAGCAAAAAGTGCTACAAGAAAACCAGGACGTCAAAACCCAGAAATACAATGCATAGAGACGGTACCAAGAAAACTGACTATTCAATACCATTGCAAAAACCAGGACGAGCACAGCCAGGCCGGAAAGTGGGAAATGCTACAGTACCACATCCGCGGATAAAACCTAACATCCAAGGTTCGCAACCTGAAGGACGAAATCCGGAATATCTCAGAGCCCGAGCCAAACATTACGCGACACCCACATGGGCTGAAGAGGATATTCCAGAGGACGGTGTTCGACTATCGGCACTTCCCTCCACAGATTTAGAGGAAGATAGAGTTTATCTTGTCAGATGCCTCAACACAGGACAACTAGAGGCACTCGAACTATACAATGATGGCAAAGAAAACGTTGACATCCACCGAGCCGAAACTACGGAAACCCTCGTAACCAACACACCGATACCTAGGAAAGAACCTATTGGAAAACAAACCAAACACACAAATTCACAGAAATTAGCGGAAGAAGCTTCAAAAGGGAAACCCGAATTATCCTTTGAAGAAATAGTTCCCAAAGAATATTGGGATTATAGAAAAGTTTTCGAAGGATGAAAACCAGGGAAACTACCGCCTAAACGCCCTTGGGATCACAAAATTGAACTCAAGGATAGAATGGAACACTCGCTCAGACCTAAATTATACAGTCTTAGCCCAATGGAACAAACAGAACTCAAGAAATTTATTGACGAAAACCTGAAGAAAGGATTCATCCGGGAATCCAAATCACACATAGCATCGCCGTTCTTTTTTATTAAAAAGAAGAACGGGAAATTACGACCAGTAATGGATTATCGGAAACTCAATGAAATGACTATCAAGAACAAATATCCACTACCAATTATTCAAGAACTATTGGACTTATTAACAGAAGCCGTATACTTCTCACTTGTGGATATTGACACAGGCTATAACAACGTATGCATGGACGAAAAGGACGTCCACAAAGCAGCATTCGTCACAAACCTAGGAATGTATGAACCACTGGTAATGTACTTCGGACTCACCAACTCGCCAGCAACATTCCAAACTATGATGAACTCGCTTTTCAAAAACCTCATTTACGCAGGAAAAGTGGCAATTTACATGGACGACATACTGGTATTCTCCAAAACCATGGATGAACATATCAAAACAATGCGACAAGTTTTACAAATCCTAAAAGACAATGATTTGTACCTGCAACCGTCAAAATGCCATTTCCACAAAAAGAAAATCGACTATCTTGGATACGTCATATCTCACGGAGACCTCGAAATGGACCCAATCAAAGTAGCCGGTATCACGGACTGGCCGACACCAACCAGAGTCAAAGAAGTACAATCATTTTTAGGATTCTGCAACTTCTATCGCAGGTTTATCAAAGATTACTCGAAAATAGCCAAACCACTATTCAAGTTAACACAGAAAGATTGCAACTGGGATTGGATGCCAGCATGCGAAAACGCATTCCAAATACTAAAGAAAACCTTTATATCCTCCCCGGTACTTGTTATGCCAGAAACCAAGAATCCCTTCCGCATTGAATGCAACGCATCCGACTTCGCTACCGGAGCAGTATTATCACAGGTCGCCCCCGATGGAAAATGGCACCCTTGCGCCTACATTTCCAAATCACTCTCACCAACAGAACACAACTATCCTATCTATGATAAAGAGTTGCTAGCGGTCGTTCGAGCCTTCGAAGCTTGGCGACACTATTTAGAAGGCGCCGAAACCCCGGTCGACGTCTGGACGGACCACAAAAATCTGGAATGGTTCCGCTCAAGCCAAAAGTTAAACCGTCGGCAAGCATGATGGTCACTCTTCTTCTTGCGTTTCGACTACAAATTAACACACAAGGCAGGAGTCACCAATAAATCCGACGGTCTGTCATGGCGTCCAGACCATAAAGAGGGGGTGGAATTTGACAATTCAGGCAAAACGCTTTTGGAACCCAAACTTTTCAATCAAAAACAAGAAAAGATTAGAAAACCTTTCGCGGAAGTCAATGCAATTAGCACAGAAGAATCACTAGACCCCCATCAGATATTCCATATTAGAGCAACCGGACGAGGAGGCGTCACAATAATCGACGAAGACCTAAAAAATCGTATCATCGAAGCAAACAAGAAAGACGAATGGTTATTAGAAACATTAACCAAAGTCAAAACACTAAGCCCTCGCAGCATGAAGAAAGGACTACAAGAATGGAACAACGAAGAAGGACTCGTTCTACACAGAGGAAAAATCTACGTCCCCCAAAATGAACAACTACGCAGAGATATCATCAAGATAAATCACAACAATCTAGCTGCAGGACATCCAGGACAGAGAGGAACACTAGCGGCCGTAGGACAAGAATTCACATGGCCCGGAATCTCAAACACCGTTCATCAATACGTGGAAGGATGCGCAATCTGTCAATCTACAAAAAACGACACGCACCCTACCATGGTACCACTTCAACCAATGGAGATTCCGGATAGACCATTCGGAACAATCACCATGGATTTTATCACCGATCTCCCGAAATCAAAAGGATTCGATTCACTCCACGTAGTAACCGACAGATTTACTAAAACGGCAATAATCACACCGTGTCTGAAAACCATCGACTCAGATGGGACGGCGCAAATCCTACTGGAAAATACCTGGAGATGGACTACCCGATAAAATCATATCAGACAGAGGAACCCAATTCGCATCAAAAGTAGCGCAAGCCCTACTCAAAGAACTCGGAATCCAATCAGCATTAAGCACGGCTTATCACCCACAAACAGATGGCGCCACCGAACAAATGAATCAAGAACTGGAACAATATCTTAGAGCCTTTTGCAGATCATCACAAGACGATTGGGCAGCATTAATTCCCTACACAGAATACGCCCACAATACACACCAACATTCAGCCACAAAGAAATCCCCGTTCGAACTATTACATGGATATCAACCCAGAGCATATCCAGCTATTATAGGCAACACGAATGTCCCCACCACCGACGCACGCCTCGAAGCTCTGCAACGCGCTAGGAAGGAAGCACAAGCCAGCCTCGAAATTGCAGCCGAAGCCATGAGGATACAACATGACCGTTTCGGAACGAAACTACCGCCTTTCAAGAAAGGAGACCGAGTTTGGTTAGATGGAAAGAATATCCATACCGATCACCCCTCGGAGAAACTGCGACCTAAACGATTTGGACCATTTGAAATTATCGACACAATTGGAACTATCAATTTCAAGCTGAAACTGCCCAACAGCTGGAAACGTATTCACGATGTTTTCCATGCTAGTCGGCTTACACCTTACAAGGAGAATGAGGTCTATGGCCCAAACTATCCTAAACCGGCCCCGGACCTGATCGAAGGACAAGAAGAATTCGAAGTCGAAGCCATTGTCGGAGCTCGACGCTTTGGACGATGGAAGACCTTGCAGTATCTAATTAAATGGAAAGGCTACCCCGAATCGGACAACTCATGGGAAGCGGCAGCAAACGTTACAAACGCCAAAGAAGCCATCACGGAGTTTTATCACAGACACCCCTCCGCAGTCAGAGGAATGGAAGCCTCGATCTTAGCCTTAACGATCGAGCTGGAATACAACAGAGTTGCCGAAGAAAACCAAATCAAAAAGAAGCTTCAGAAGCATCCAATCGGAAGAAGACTTCTATCTACACAATTGGAAATTCCCCAGATCATGAAAGCAATCGACAAACGGATGACACAGTTAAAGAAGCGATCAGTACCTCCACAGTCAAGGAGGACAAAATCAATGATCGACGATCAAGGAACACAATCGAAGAAGCCCAGTATAGGCTCGTCTCGATCTATGCCGCAGCACAAACGATCGGACAGCTCTAATTGGCGAATACAAGTCTACCAAGAGCTACAAAAGCAGACGAACCGTGGTTTGGCATGGCCAGGCAAGCGGCTATGACCCCCCTGAACCCCACTCTAGCAGAAGTAGCCATTTACACCTCCGTCGCAACCGCCACCTTTCTAGCCATCTCTCTTGCTGTCTTTCTCGTCGGAGCCATTTGCCAAGGCTCTTGTCTCATTGCCAGTGACCTCGTATAAATATGAGGCCACCGTCGACAAAAAAACTTTCCTCCAGCTTCCCAGCTACATGTCCTTGACTGTCCGCAAATTCCACTTCCTCGAATCCCCTTGCTACATCATGGCTGACTTCCACCACACGACCTCTCCCCACGATCGTTCCCGCTCCACTTCCCCTCCCTTCATCCTCCGCCCTGTCTCAACCGCCACCAACGACTCTAACGACTCTTACGACTCCCTCGCCTCTGTCAACCACATTGACGGCATCACCGTAGACGACCCACACCTCGAAATCGGCGTCCCCAGTCTCCCTAGTCGCATCATGAACCCCCACACGCCCAGTGCGGGGCAAATATTCGCTCTATTTAATACCATTCCCCGCATTCTCATTCCCGTCTACCCTTCCCTCATTTATAACTTGACCCACTACTTGAATCCCAACCTTGTCGGCGCACTCTATCACATCACCTTCACCAATGACGAGGCCCCGATCATGTTGGAACAATCCGGGCTGGACGATCCCACAAACTTCTTTTTCTATTTACAGCAGATTGTGATGACGCGAGCGTATCAGGTACACCAGGGACTAATGGACCGACATCAGATGACCCTTCTCTCAAACCTCGCCATCACTAACTATAGAAACAAGGGACTCATTAATCTCCCATCCCTCCGCAGCGACATGATCAGCTACCGCCCTACTGGGTATAGCTCCCTTGCCATGAGTCTCCTCCTCCGCCACTCCCCAACCGAATGGGTCGACACTCTCGCACGAATTCCCTTCCGACGGAATACCATCCGTTGGTTCCGCATTACAGGGTTTGGAAGAGAACGGTTGGTCATTGAAGAATACATGCCGGGAGGAACGCTGCCGGAACGTCTCTTTCCCACGAATAGTCGAGGGGAGCAGCACGTCGCCGCGTACTGGTCCGAAGGGTCTAACCCATCAGACAACGTGAGGCCCTGGTACATGGCAAGGTCGGACGTCATGGCAGAGGATGGGTATCACTTGCTCCAACCCGAGGAGCTTCTTTACGAGTCACAGAGGATCATTGATGCTCCGGGAACCTCCGGAAATATTGCACGTCTCCCTGTCAAATCCCTCATCCTCTCCCTCCCTGTGCTCAGAGAATCGTCCTTAGCACCAATTCCCCTCCTCGCACCTTCACCACCCCTTCCCCCTCTCCAGCTTGACATCCCGGTGCCTTTTCAACACGCGGTCTCGGCCGAAAGGACCACGGCAGTTGAAGAACGGGCAATGGCCACGCTCCCCCATGCCCACACCGACCCCTTCCCAGGAAACCAGCTCGCCCCTATCCCTAACCTGGAAGAAGACGATCCCATGCTCCCCGCTAGTCCCCCTTACGACCCCGAACAAACTGTCCGGGATCGCGAGGCTCGTCGACCACTTCCGACGCTGCCCCCAGCACCCCCTGTTACACCCTCATCCACGACCCTCGTCGAGGAAGGCCCCGCCCCTACTGAGCCTGTCGACGCGCCCTCTTCTCAACCTGCGACGG